GGGGCTCAGTGGTTTGAGAGAAGTCTGCAGATGGCTGGGGAAGCACAGCCAGGTGGGGTGGGCAGCGCCGAGTGCCAGGCTGGGCCTGAGGACATCAACTGTGGCGAGAACAGGCTCACCCATTCCCTACAGGAGTGTCACTAGGCACGTTTTGACCTCTCAGCTCAGTTTCTTTCCCTTAAAGATGAGAGTAATGTTAATATCTATTGCATGGAACTGTTGGGAAGATGAAATAATCCATGCACCAAGCCTGCGGTAAGTGCCCCACCATTACTCTCAGCTATTAGGACAGAGCACCGCTTTTCTCTGTGGCTTGTGACTTTATTTTTCTACTTGCAGCAATGATTGGATTCTTTTAGGGTTGGAGTTTATCAGGCATATAAGCAACAGGTCCTGGAAAATAAGAATTATTGTCATCAAGGGGCTGGGTTCCCTGGGCCAGTGTAGGGAAGGAATGAAAGTGGGGCGACGGCTAATAGGCCACACCAGCCCAGGTCTTGGGTCGAGGAACCTGGAGGGGGTTGAGCAGGTATTCAGTCCGAGGGGGGCTGCGGACAGGCGGGGGTAGGTGTTGCTGGTGGGCAAACTCCGTGGTGATGAAAGAGGAACCTAAGAGCCAGGCCTTTGTATTTGTTGTCTGCGTGGGTTTGGAAGTTTCCAGGGTGGTGGCAATTTTGAGGAGAGGAAGACTATGGGGCAGAATTCTCCAAGCCGCAGGAGGATGGGCAGTTGGGGAGGCGGGAGAGGGGTTGGTAGGGTGGGAAGGTCCGAAGTGCAAAGGAGGGAGTTTGCTGCGGGGCAGTGATGTGGGAGCTGCAGGACCCCCCTACCTGCCCACAGCTGTGGGGGACGTGAGTGTGGAAGGATGAGGCCATGGCTGCCCTTGCTTCTGCCTTGTCATGGGGGTGAGGGGGAGTGGTTAGGGCTGCTTTCCATGGATTGTGAACCCTGGAGGGCAGGGTGGGAAGTTTGGCTTTGAGGGGATCGACTGGAGATTGGGTCAGGACTGAGGAACCCAGAGCCGTCTGGGGAGTAGATACAGGACCGTTTGCACCTTATACTCTGGGGCCTGAAGAGTGTGCATGTGACTGGCGGCGTCCAGCTGGCTGTGCCCGGGCCACTGCATCCCGGCTCATGTCTCGTATCTGAGCCCTGATCTTCTCACCTGTAAATTGGGATCAAAATACCCACCTCATAGGGCTTTTAGGAGGAACAGATGGTATGAGTCTGTGGAGTTCGTGGTGGGCCCACCAGGCGCGGAGCAAGCGCTCCGAAGTACTGCTTTTTCTTCCTTGAGTTTTACGGGATGTACAACCAGCCACATTTAAAACCAGCTGAGGCTTGCTCCTG